ATAAAAGATATAGTTAAAAGTGTATACGAAGTCCGTTACTCGACGATGCAAATTATGACCTTGAAAGCAACGACTCAAGGAACCTTTTTAGAGTCGATACCGTTTAGAATTACGTAGTTTTTCCACAAATTACAATCAAGTTGTTACATACACTCGATACTTTCTACCTACCAAGAGTCCGCTTTCTTGTAAATAATTCTAAAAGGAGCAAACTCTTACATACAGCGGTATGAAATTATTTGAGTTGGAACTGAACCATCATGGCCACTATTCAGCATCTCTCTGAAGTCAGAGCGAGAATTGCCTGTTGTCCTGAATTTTGGCTGGGTACATCTGCTTAGCCCAAAGAACAGCAATGGGTGCTTCTACTGCAACACGGCTAAATGAATCAAATCCAACAGATTTAGCCTCAAAGAAGCTTTGCTAGAGAACAAACTTTCAAGTTTGAGAGATGTACATTTTACGCTTATGATTTGTCGATGATTGCAATCGCAAGGGTCAGGTCAGAACTTTTTTGAGCTTTTTTTCTGAAATTGCTTAAATTGAAAACCACCTGACCGGATCATTTCTTTACCAGAACTCATCTTTCATTCGGGATAAGACTGGCCTTCGCTCTATCGTGATGCATTCTTTATCTCGAAAATTTGCCATAAAAATTTCAGGCCTGTACGGTGAATGTTAAATCGCTTACCATGATTGTTAATCTCGCTGGCTGTTATATTACAGTTAAGATAAGAACAATGAAGGCGAAGTTTACGGAAATAAAAATTAAAGCAACGTATACCTCTTAGCCGAATTTAGGTGTAAGCCTCTGCGTCGTGATTTAAAGAATGACTGGTTACGATATAAATTATAACTTTGAATGCTATTAATCAGCAATTTAAAATAAATTGACCGAAACTTTGCACTATCCTTTCTTATCTTTGTTTAACGACTCATAGCGGAACCATTGCCAAAGGGATCCATTATCTAAATGCCTTTTTTACTACTCGAAAATATTTTGTCAGCCTTGTCATTCCACAGCAGTTTTCCTTGTTAATGCTGTTTGTGCAGTTTCTGTTGTTTACTTGTTTTGCTTTGTTTTTTCCTTTTTCACACTTTTACGTTCGCGTTTGATTCGACCTAATGAACAAAACATTGACGTGTCGAGCAGTAATACCTATAATTAATTTTATATAAAGGTCATTTCGCTTCATTACATGGAAAAAAAATGCCTACAACTTAATTTATATGTATTCTGAACGAACGCCTGCTCTCGAAAAAGGTCATTTATCATATCGACTGCATCAAACGCGGTGCATACTTGAAATACATATGTTTCTTATCTGTTGACCGCCAAGATGGCTGCTAGTGTCGTTCGTACACACTGGTGATTTATTTCACATAGGATTTTCTGATGATTCTTCTTCCCTATAGATGGACTCCCTATAATGACTTAGTCTTCGCGGATATCCATAATTGTTTCTCTGATGGTTTCCTTCCTTTTTTTAAGGCACGAATTTATATCGTTTAACAATTATTCGCCAAGGGCGAAGCGAAAATTGTCGAATATACTGCAGCACTCACTTGGCCTGAAGCGAACACTTACTTTAGTATAACTGTTCAAATGCTTCGAATTCCTTTGATAAAAATTCATTTATCTGTTAAAACCCCATTCATTTTGACCATCGAGATAACCATCTAGTTTTGACTAGAATATGACAGTTTCAACATCCTCGTTCCCGGGACCTTTTCCTATAGTCGGGTGGGAAAAGGCCCCACCCCCAGTTAAGGGAAAAGGTCCTGCGAACGAGGTTGCAGGTTCAATTCATTCCATAAGTAAAACTTCGCATCTTTCTGTTGAAAAGTGTAGTTAATCACGAGTATGATTACAGACAGAAACGGACAACACGAAGTCCTGCTATCAATTAATTTTAACTATTTTAATTTCCGAAGAAAAAAAAGACGTCTACTTGAGAAAATATCTCCCGTAGAAGCATTGTCTCAAGGAAAAAATTCCTACATTTTGGAATTTCCCCTGTTTTGTGGGGAAGATGGTTGTTGCTATGGTTATTGTAATCAGTTCTGTGATTGGTGGATTGAGCCGAGTGAACTTAGTATGATTGACTGTTTTAACTGTCCGATTAGGTGTCCGGTGACAGACAACTGTACGACTTATACAACTGTACGACTTATACAACTGTACGACTTATACAACTGTACGACTTATACAACTGTACGACTTATACAACTGTACGACTTATACAACTGTACGACTTATACAGAATAATTAGCAGAATAGAGCAGTCAATGCAGTAATCACATAGGAGGAAATTGTTATGGTTATGATAAAAAATATGATTTTTGACTTTCATTATTAATAGTAATGATAATAATAATAAAAAAAACAACAACGAAAACAATCCATAAAGCACATAAAAAAAGAAAAAAAAATGCAAAGGACCAAAAGATTTTTTTTAACCGCTTGCGCGAGGACAGTCTGCTATGAAAATTAAGTTGGGTATAAATAAAAACTACTTCAAAAAAATGGATGAATGCCAGTACATGAGTTTGAATCATGAAAATTTCTGCTGGTTTCAAAATCGATTCTAGAAGTACAGTTAACACAATTGTCGTTGTTCGTACCAATATAACACATCAATTTGGTGCGATTCTATTGGCTATTTTACGTCAGGTGGTGCAATATCACCAGACAGCTGAATTTGTAACGCAATAAGCCCCTTTTACATCGGTCTTTGTCCTCCAATGATTTCTGTTGAAAAGAATCAAAGCTAGTGGACAGAAGATGGTTTAAGGGTTTCGCATTTAGGAAAAACTAACTCGTCTTGCGACATTTAAAAGCTGATCTCACTGATCCGGAAAGNCTTATACAACTGTACGACTTATACAACTGTACGACTTATACAACTGTACGACTTATACAACTGTACGACTTATACAACTGTACGACTTATACAACTGTACGACTTATACAACTGTACGACTTATACAACTGTACGACTTATACAACTGTACGACTTATACAACTGTACGACTTATACAACTGTACGACTTATACAACTGTACGACTCAAACAACTGTACGACTTATACAACTGTACGACTTATACAGAATAATTAGCAGAATAGAGCAGTCAATGCAGTAATCACATAGGAGGAAATTGTTATGGTTATGATAAAAAATATGATTTTTGACTTTCATTATTAATAGTAATGATAATAATAATAAAAAAAAACAACAACGAAAACAATCCATAAAGCACATAAAAAAAGAAAAAAAAATGCAAAGGACCAAAAGATTTTTTTTAACCGCTTGCGCGAGGACAGTCTGCTATGAAAATTAAGTTGGGTATAAATAAAAACTACTTCAAAAAAATGGATGAATGCCAGTACATGAGTTTGAATCATGAAAATTTCTGCTGGTTTCAAAATCGATTCTAGAAGTACAGTTAACACAATTGTCGTTGTTCGTACCAATATAACACATCAATTTGGTGCGATTCTATTGGCTATTTTACGTCAGGTGGTGCAATATCACCAGACAGCTGAATTTGTAACGCAATAAGCCCCTTTTACATCGGTCTTTGTCCTCCAATGATTTCTGTTGAAAAGAATCAAAGCTAGTGGACAGAAGATGGTTTAAGGGTTTCGCATTTAGGAAAAACTAACTCGTCTTGCGACATTTAAAAGCTGATCTCACTGATCCGGAAAGTACAAAAAGTCATCAAAATTTGCTGTGAACTCGCGATATGAAAATTGATTGTAATTTGCATAAACCATCTCCTTGATTGCTGGTATTTCACCTGTTAATGTCCTTGGCTGAGAGATTGTCTTCAAATTGTCACGTACACATTTGCCCTTGAGGCTTTGCCTCTCGATGGAATATTCGTATTCGGGCAATTTCTTCGCCGCGGGTATTATCAGCCGACATAACGGCCGCCTGAAGAACTGTTTTTACTAAGTAGTTACTAAGTATTCCTTTTCTCGTCTTCGCAAACCCAATGTAGTTAGCTAGAAAGTTGAACCCCTCTTTATTGCAATTTAACTGCAATGGTCTTTTGTCCTAATCAGTGATTTCCACGTTTTGCGAGGTATCAAAGAATCGTTTGTCAGCTATATCAGTGATTACAGGGACTTGGCTTTTTTGTTGATGAAGATGAAGTTGATCTACAGGCCAATATTCCTACTGCGACAGGTCTTGATGGAGGACGCGTTCCAGGAAGAAACCCAGTTAAGCCCCCTTAAAGATTTTATTCTGCCTTGTTGCTCCAAAGTACGGATTCGTAGAGAAAGGTGCTCCGGAAAATATCAAGGATCATATTCCTCATAAAAAAATCTTAAGTGCTAGACTATGAGCCACAAGCCACAGGGTAGAAAACTATGGGAACCAAAAAGGCAGAAATGGCTTGGTCAAGCGCAAAGAATGGAGCCCACAGCGCATGCATGAAATGCACGCTTGGACTCTGGAAGGGGAAGGGTAGAAGGGACATTAGAGAACAAAATAAACATGAACGGTATGAAAAGATTTGAAAGGAGCTTTTTGGGGCCACTGTTCCGTGCCAAAAGAAGCAACCATTAATTTATGTTATTTACAGGGCTAAGATGCTCTTTCGGGTTAGATTTCTTTTTCCGATTGTGTTTCAGTTTTCGCTGTTTTTGCACAGGTAAGAAATCCATGGAAGCAATATTTTAGTGTCGAAGTTAAGTTGGAAACAAGCATGAATGTGATTTGAACATTGGTGATCTCCATATTAAAATAAAATATACTACTAGTTTGAACGATACAACAAATAATGAATTGGATATATCAACAAAGTTGAAATGGTAAATTGGCCACCGTAACGATTACAAAAGCTGACGTTTCGAGCGTTAGCCCTTCCGACGAAGGGCTAACGCTCGAAACGTCAGCTTTTGTAATCGTTACGGTTGGCAATTTACCATTTCAACTTTGTTGATATATCCAAATTATTTCGTTACTCCCACCGACGCAGCCCCAAACAGTTTCTCTCAAAACTATCAGCCTTTATTCAACAAATAATGAACTTTCGTAAAAAAGAGTATTGGCTACGAAACTTTTAGTGAAGTAGTATCATGTCGATCTAACCCGACCCCTTACTCTTAAAATTAAATCGGTTCGATTTACTTTCTTGGAGGGGACCATTTATTGCATGCTTGGAATAATAATCACAGAACACTTATGACAACAACACTAAAATATTCCTCATCTGCTTTTTAACCATAAACCTTTTACTCAATCATAAGGAAAATTTCAACGGTTTAAAAGAACTTAATCATGGCAGGTTTTATTTCAAGTTTTACCTTCTCATGGTGAATCACTAAAACAAACGTCATGCAGCTTTGTAAATTTATGGTTAGTAATCTTGAATAAACTATGAATAGAAAAATATGCTTTTACGGTTTTGCGAAAGTTTAGGCTGTAGAGTAAGCCAGTTAAATTCTAATTAACTATGATAACCTCTAGAGGCAAAATTTTGTGGCTGGTTACCAAAAACTTGGCGTTGAAGGTTAACCGACCCAAATAAAAGTTATCTAAGTGTCTAGAAAGTACCTACAAATAGCTCTACGAAAGAATGTCTAATATCCCTCGCTATGTATATATGATTCCATGAGCAGAAAAGATGAGGCGACCCCTACGTTCTGATCTGGCAGGCAAAAGAAGCTTCTCTTACCCACCGCGATTGTTCGCATTGTTCCCCAGAACGGAATAACAAAATGCTTTAGCTTTAAAAAATTAACAACCAAGGCTTAACTTTGCCCTTTTCAGTAAAAAAGGTTAAAAATAACTTCTCCACTACAGAGCCTCTGCTCATTAAAAAAACAAATAAGGAACTTCTTCACAACCATCTTAGCGACGCTTAGTCAATATAAAAACAGACAAAGAGTAGTAAACAAACAAATTTGCCCATATAGCAAAGGTCAGCCTGCTCTGACAGAGTTCAGCAGTTCACATAATGGATCGGCGTTATCTCTTCACTGCACCTGGACAGCCTCGGGTCTCCTCTTGATATCCCTCGTCAAGTGATGTTTCTTCGGCTTACAAACGAACGTTCGCATTTGCAGAGTGATTCTGCTGCTCGTACAGTTTGTCGCGTAGATCTCCGATCGGAATTATTTGATTCTGTTGTGTTAATGCAGCGGTTTGCTCTACAGAAACGTAAGCGTTGTTTTCGTAGGCAATAACGCTTGGTCCGCTGAGAGTCACTCCATGCTTTTCTGTATTCTCACAGACTGCTTCACGAACTTCATCAGTTCCTTGATCGACCTTCTCGTTGGACTGCACACGGCATTTGGGGCCAAATCTAAGATAGAAACCAAATCAAAATTCTTGTACTTACAATAAGAATCACATGTAAAAACTATTTCGATTAGAATAATTTAGAGGGAAGGACGTAATTTTTCAACTTTACATCCAACGAGGAGGTAAATTCGTATCCACAAGCAGACATTTTTTTTTTATATCATGTAGATATATGAGATACCATCATACTATTTGACTAATTTAAAGTATCAAGATACCCAAATGTTAACTCCGCTTGCTAAACTGCTACTTCAATTCCGATTAAAAAAAATTCTAATTTTTCCTATTTCTATAAAGGAAAAAATTTCAGCTTGTTCCCAGTTTTAGACTTCCCCCCTCCCCTCCCCCCCACTACGACCCCTTTCTTAGCTCACCGAGGGGTTTTCAATTGCCCAGGGATTGAAGCAGTCTCAGTATGTGAGAGGCTGTTATGGCATAGCAAATTGGTTCCACATTTGCTTCTCGTTGAGCCTCAAAAGAGATTTTCATACCTGGTAGTTTTAATGCACAAGGTGGCAGAAATGATAATCGCCAACAGTAACAAAGCTCCCAAGGTAACAGCCACTATAACAGTGGTCGAGGTTGATTTTTCATCATCTTTCTCATGTTTTTCATCATTTTCGTCCTGAAGCTGAGTGGATGGCGTTGGCTGAACAGATGTGATGCTAACACCCATCGACCCATCGACCTGAAGCTGAGTGGATGGCATTGGCTGAACAGATGTGATGCTAACACCCATCGACCCTTCAATAGATTTCATATCGCTTTTCACGATGTTCTTCAGGACATCTTCGCTGACCAAGTTATCTCCGACATCTCCAGGAAGCTGCAGATAGAAAGCCAACAACGTTATGTTGGGATCATTCGGTGACTGCATTGGGTAACCAGGAACAAGGTGAACCATATCGGCTGAGAATTCCATGCTATCAGAGGATCGTCTCCGACGAGGACTGAAACAGAATAAAAAATGAATGTGACTTTCCCCAAGTGTATTATCATCATTACTATTATTGTTGACGTTGTCGCCATTAGTTTTCTTTCAGTATAATAGTTACACCATGACAAGAAAAATTTCGTCCGATTCTCAAGAATCAAGGTTGCGAAAAATGACGATTAGGAACTGGTAAGTCCAGAACTTCCACTTTCCTGTGTATCTGGAGAAAACATTTCTTTGAGACATTGTGATGGCCAACTCTTTACGAGCTGTTTGTTCGTTTCCCTGTTCTATATAAGCCTGAATATGTTCTAAATTGTTTGCTTGGTTTTTTCCGTCACCTTGGTAGTCTTATTCGAGATTGAACTGTTTTTGTTCTGTATTCTCTAGGAGGTATTCACCTTCATCGTTTCCGTCCCTCGAATTGCCAGGTAAAAGAAAGACTCGGTCCTTAAATATCCTATCTCGTTCTTCCGGTAGTCCATAGCAGACCCGTGGGTACTACAGTATCTAGGCTTAGTTCCGTACTCACTTTGCTCTTACTCAATCAGAGCGCACTCTTTAGCGGTCATTAGCGAAGGCCATTTGATAAATATAATTATCAATTTTACAGTTCGTCCCTTTGAATTAACTGTGCATTGTCCTCTTTTTAGTTTGCTGACCACTTTTTTGATTGATGTATAGTTTACCTTATTTGACAGGATGCTCCTCCACCGGCACAATATCTGGAGGCTGCACTTGCAACTTCTCGTTTAAAGTCCGCTTCCATCTCCTTCCACTATGATGGACAAATACAAAATGGAAAAGAGAATTTTTTTTATGAATACTGCAAGAAAAGTGATTAAAGGTTGATTCACCTCAGGACGCAGTAAAAATGTTTCTTTGTTTAGCAATTGATTGTATGTTAACAGAGTAGAACAGTTTTCTTCGCCTTCACCAAAGAATTAAATAATAACTAAAGATCACCTTGTTCATATCAAAATTTGTCATTTTTAACACCACTGCTTCTTGCATTTCCTTTGCTGATGGAGTGCGAGGAATAGCTGTCGGCCTGAAAGTCACCGTGTGGGTCGAAGTAGAAATCCCTTTGTTTGATAGAGAATCATTTAGAATTATGATAAAGATAAGATAAAACACTAAAATTGAATTTACATAGAGAATTTGTAGAATAGCATCCGGTACTTTTACTGATTGTTCAAAATTAGTCTTCTCAGCGTATTTGATATTTGTATGTTATATTGCTAAGTAATATGTATTGTGTGTTTTGTTTTGATAAAAGCAATTCGAATATCAAAAGAACAACGGCTAATACACTAGATGTGTCAAAGGTTAAAATTTTGACAGAGTGACAAACATTCATATTTGACCTGTAAATTAAGGGTAAAGTTGACTTATTCTAGAATCTTCCCCCCGAAAAAGGACAAAGTTAACGAAGTCTCCAACTCTATGAAGCAAGACCAATACATATCAGATAATTACGTTGTCCTAATGGAGAACACACATTTATCTCCACTCGTCTTTGAATAAGTTTTTACAATGTTTTATACAGCTTGGGGAGAACACAGTCAAACAGTATCAAAGTTAGGCTGTGCTTGCCTACCTGTGCAATAACCACATGCCTTTCGACAATGCTTCATCGTCCAATTTCGGTTAGTTTGGCAAAGTTCTTTATAAGTGGAGAAGGTTGAACAGATGGTGGCATGTTCCGGGTCATCAAAACAGTCATCTGCGGTCATTGAAAAACAAACGTAAGATTTACTGTCAAGTCCAAATAGTATTTGTTGACAATCCTATTAACAAAACCACAAGGAAGTCATGACATTCTTGTTTTATGAGTTTATTCCCTAGTAAAAATCTTTCCACATAAACGCTTCTTGAAAGTTTTAATCTTTCACATTGCCGTGGCGTAGTTTCAAGGTGTCCAGGTAATGAGCATAGCAATGTTTTTTGAAACATGATAGAAAACATTTGATTTTAAGGAAAGAAAATATTAACATTCATATTTTCACAACTATACCTCTACAAAATCCGCATGACTTAGGGCAGTGCTTGACGGTCCAGTTAAAATTTTCTGTACAAAACTTTTCATTCAGTGTGACGAGTTGGGAACAAAACTCGTAACCGGGCTTGTCAGAACATACCGGGTGGACTGTGTGTGTAAGACAGAAAAGCAAGGAATCGTGTTCCCAAAAAAATTAGATATCAAAACAATTTAACATCGCTGCATGAAATAAGAAACTACCAAGTTAGAATGAGATCATGTATTGGTATATTAAATAGGATTTATCGTAAGATATTTGAATTATAACTTGTTGGACAAATGAACTCTTTAACTGATGATGATTAAAGCGCTATTTTATCAACCGTAGTTGTAGTGTGCCGCTACTAAGGAAAGCACTTCTCAGTGATGATGGATATATGGATTATTCGTTAATTAATTCATCCGGATCATGAACTAAGCGACATTAAATTGTCCTGAAAAGGTCAGTCACGCCAACGTGACAACAACGGGCACAATATTTAATAAACTGTTTGATATAAATTATGACCAAAAAAAGGAGAGTTTAAGATATTGAAATTAAAAGCAAAGGCGAACCTAAAGCTCTACCCAGAAATCAAGCAATATGACGAGATTACTATTGGAAAATATCAAAAGCCTCATGCAAGGGGTACGAGGTATGGTTTCTAGCTTTACAGTGTAAGTACCTGGTGTGGACGGTTTGTGGGTGTGAACAGTGTTCGCAATGCTGGAATTGGTAGAGTTTGAAGAAGGCTTAAGGGTAGTCGGAACTGGATACCATGTAGGAGACGGAGTCTGTCCTGAACAGCTTCCTCTGGTTATCGAGACGTCATCAATGGCTATGTCACCAGTGTCGGAATACCCTACTATTCCTTCAAATGTCAACTGCGAAAGCAAAGATGGATATCTTAATGAGTTGCTTTAGATTTAGAAGGTAAAAAGAAAGGCGACTTCCCATCAGTTGACAAACTTTAATGGAGATAGATTAAAGGCGGGATGGGACAAAAATCCTTCCCATGGAAGAATCCCCTGTGTATATTTGTGTGCAGGCATGTTTACGGCGTGTTTCTTCAAAAGAGTACTTGATTAAATGCAATATTGTCCCAAAATAGAGAACAAGCAGACATACAGCTTTTCCTAAAAAATCGTTCCTGTGGAGGTGTGATTTCTGTATATCGGATTCTTTCGATGAAAATGATACTTGCCCATAACAAGCAGGGTCATTATTATCATAACTGTCTTTTCACTTCACGATCTATTTGGAAAAATTACTTCATTTAAAAAGATAAATTCGTCCATTAAGACTTACCGTTTTCTTGGAATAAAATGTCCTTTCAGCCTTAATCCAGTAGTTTCCGTGGTTTCCAGTAGCGTTAAATAGTAAAGAACTTTCACTGAAGACATGAAGTTCCCCAATAGCAAGTCCATACATGTGATAATAGAACTTAAGGCACGAGAGTTCTCCGGTTTCGTTTAAATTGAGCATCAGCTTGGCATTATCACCATCATATTGCACACTTGCCTCAATGTACATATAGTACCCTTTAAAAATACAAATTGACAGCATATATGAAATGTTTTATTTTTTTCAGGCCATTTTATTAGATAGTAGATTTGCTAAAAGGTGCTACTTGATTTGATATTATCATAAGGGCAACAGAGCTTGCAAATATGCCACAGTATTACGATTTAGAGGGAGGCAAAAATAAGGTCGGAAACCAATAGCAATAACGTCCTTGGAGCACCTCGTTATTAGTGCCAGATCCCCGCTTCAGACCTCGCAATGGCTCGCATTGCTTAGGACCTTGAGCCTACTCGTACGGTAAATGAAAGCCTGACTGTGCTGCAGCGCTGTTAATAAGGGCCTATTCGTAGTCGTAGGCTAGGGCATGAGCTGTGCTTGCTTGTCTTTGCCATGAATAAAACTTTTTCCCACAATGGCCTTTTGTAGAGCAGACGCTACAAGTTGGAAAACATCCGCCCGAGGCGCATCACTTTATTTCTTGGAAAGGGACAGAATGAAAGCCAAGAAAAAGAAGGCTCTTATACTCAGGTTATATCAATTCTTTGCGATTCTTATTACTGAATGGACTTGTGTGGTTGAAGAAGAGAGAAAAAACGTTCTCAAAGGAGGAAAAAAAGGCGCACGAGTTCACTGTTTCTTTAACATTTTAGGAAATCGTTAAGCAGAGAAACTGAAATGTAGTCTTGGCGGTTAGTTTAACGAGGTCTTACCATAGCCTAAAGTATGATCGTAGTCTGGGCCCGTTAGGTTAGATGGCGTTGATCCACTATATAATTTCCAGTCAAAGACATCTGAGTGAGACTGCCACCAACCAGAGCACAGTCCATTGTCAAAACTACATGAGGTGGTCGCTGAAATATTCAACAAGATAAAATAGGAATACTCAAGCTGAGAACTATATCGTATATTCTCGTAGGTACTTTATCCGAGCTCATACGAGAGCTTAAACTTTAACTTGAGTTAAATGAAATCTAACTTTTTAGTGTGAAGCCAAAGAATATTAGCACGGAGCTGAGCTAAAGCTGTCACGCCATCTACCAATTTGTACTGTCTGATCATTTCCCGGACTTCTCTCTAGCTTTTCTTCGTCAAGGAATTAATTAATTAACTCTTATTTTTGTCCCTATATTGCTATTTTCATGTCTCTAACTATGGAAGCTTTTAAGTAGTTTTGATATTAGTAAAAGTAGAAAGTTTTGTGTAAATGTTAGTAAAAAATAGGGATTTAGAATGGGAAGGGTAGTTGTCAAAAGCCTTCCCGTGCTCAATTTGGGACTCGAACACAAAGTGCAAGTAACAGGTTCTAAATTATCAGGTTAGTGCAAAATGTTTTCGGCTCAGCAAGAACAGTGCCATCTGGCTACTTGTCCCAGGGTGCTAGAGGGCACTTAGAATGCTTGTCACTTGACTTGTGGTTACTCAAACCCTAACCCAACCGTAACCCTAACCCTAAACTGTAACCCTAACCCTAAACTGTAACCCTAACATCAAAATACTGGAAAAAGGTCAATAGGTTTCTGCAAACCCAACCATAACCGTTGGGTTAAATCGAGACTCGTCATAGCTGTCTCCTGAGGGTGTCAAATACCTTAGTCAGGTGATTTTAATTTTTTTCATTATTTAATTAATTTAAAGTAAAATTTCGGAACAAGCGAGCCAGCAAGTAGCAGTAAAAGAACCAAACAAAGGTATGTAAACGTAGAAAGCGCCGAAATAGACGATATTATAACGTGAGTGGAGACGAAAATCCTCAAAGAAAACACAAAATGAACATGCAGTCGAGTTCTAAACGTTTTCACGGTCATTTTGATTGTAGGCTTACGTAAGGTAATAAGAATCAAAAACAGCCAACACTCGTCCAGTACATATTGTTTCGTGTTTAGAAACAAAAGAGAAAAAAAAAGTACGATGAAAAGTATAACCAAACTAGCATAACTGTTTAACTTCATACAAGTCATGACGTTTCAGAGCCACTGCGATCATGCTGAGGTCCATCGCGGCTAGCTTATCATGGTGATCTCCGGTCGTCACAGTGCAGTGTAGCAAGCCTCAGAAATTGCACCGTCCGTCCTTCAGGTGAAGAACTGAGAGCTTACTTTGGGATCCTTTCCGTTACTTTGAGTGGAAGGCCACATCACTCACAGAAGCCGAGTTTTATGTAGTATTCATTCATTCATTCGGATCGAGAACAAAGCGACATTATCCTGTGCCGAAGAGAATCAGTCACGCCAACGTGACAACAACAGAAACAACGGGCACGACAATACTTAAAGAACCGTTTTATTGAGAAATTATGAACCTAAGAAAGGTGAAGGATATTGAAAAAGAAAAGAAAAGGCGAAAGTAGAGCGTTGCGTACAATCAAACAATGTAACAAGATTACATGTATTATGGGAAAATATCAACAGCCTCATGCAAGGGGTACGTAGTATTGTTTCTAGCTTTACAGTGTAAGTACCTGGTATGGACGGTTTGTGGGTGTGAGCAGTGGTCACAATGCTGGAATTGGTAGAGTTTGAAGAAGGCTTAAGGGTAGTCGGAACTGGATACCATGTAGGAGGCGGAGTCTGTCCTGAACAGCTTCCTCTGGTTATCGAGACGTCATCAATGGCTATGTCACCAGTGAAGGAATATCCCACTATTCCTTCAAATGTTAACTGCAAAAGCAAGGACGGATATCTTGATGAATTGCTTTAGATTTAGTAGGGAAAAGATAAAGCCGACTTTCCACCAGTGACCAAACGCTAATGGGTATGGATTAAAAGCAGGATAGGACCAAAATCCTTCTAGTGAAAGAATCGCGTATGCATCTTTGTGTGCGGGCATGTTTAGGGCGTGTTTCTTCACAAGAGTACTTGATTAAACACAATCNCTAGTCTTCTGCCTGTTTCGCCGATGTAAATCTTTTTGCAATAAGTGCAAGTTATGCAATAGATTACATGACCAACCAGGCACTTTTAAATGCGCTCGTGCACGATGCAAAACGTGTCCTTTCATTCACAACACTGAGAAAATATCGGGACCCAAACGATCCATTAAGATCACCGATCACTTCACGTGCACCTCCGCCAATGTAATCTATTGCATAACTTGCACTTATTGCAAAAAGATTTACATCGGCGAAACAGGCAGAAGACTAGGTGACCGATTCCGAGAACACCTTCGCGACGTGGAGAGGAATGACAAGGACACATCGAAACCAGTCGCTAGACATTTTAATTTACCTAACCATTCTAAGCAACACATGGCAATCTGCGGTCTTTCCTTACACTTAGGTAGCACGGAAAGCCGGAAAACTCTTGAACAAAAGCTCATCTTTCAAACCGGCAGTCTAAATCCCACAGGTATCAACGAACGCTTTTCATTCCACTAATTTATTCGTGTTTTTCTCGTTGCCATGTTCCCACCAATCACGTAGCTCCTTTTTCTGCCTTTAAAAGCACACACAACCCACAATTCCCCTATTCGCTCCGACGAAGGGCTAACGCTCGAAACGTCAGCTTTTATAATCGTAACGGTGGCCAATTTACCATTTCAACTTTGTTGATATATTCAAATTATTTCGTTACCCCCACCCAAGCAGCCCCAAACAGTTTCTTTYGAAAACTATCAGCCTTTATTCCGTAAAAAGTGTTAAGTTCGACCTGCCGAACTATTAATTAGTTTTTGAACTTTGATGGTTTGACATTTTTGACAGCTTTAGTATTGATCAACCAATCAAAGGAGTGGGGAGAAACACTCTACGACGCCTCGTGTTTCTCCCTACACTTCTTCCGTGCTTTAGCCCCTTCCTGCGTGTTTACAACAGAACAGAGAACTTTCAAGGCTTCTCTATTTGGTAATTAAAAAGGAAAACGAAAAACTGTGCTCATTAGAATTTTCTCATCATGAAAACCTTTGTAGGGGTTTAATGGCATGTTAAACCCGTGAAAATTGATTTTGCAGGACTATCCCTGGGTACGGTGTTGAAGATTTTATATCGAAAGAGGAGACTTACGTTTAGTTTCTCTTTTAAAATGTTTATACTACGCACCTGGTGGTGTAAAGCATCGCCCTCTACTAATGGAAACGTCGTCAATGGCAATGTCTCCCTCAAAAGATGATCCTACTATCCCCTCAAAAGTGACCTAGGATAAAATTTGAATAAAGGAATTTTTATCAAAAACTGAATTGATCAGTGTTGTAATCGAAATACTTAGGGCAAATTATTTAAACGAAGATTAAATAGCCTTCATAAAAATCACCGTCTAACTAATGTTTAAACAATGAAAACCGATTATTTGAAGCCTGATTGTCCATAACCGTATTTAGACCATGTTTAAACACCGCTTAAAGAACAATAGCGACTTAGACCTGCTCGGAGGTTGGTTTAGACTCTGTTTATGGAGTACTTTCATTTTCAGCCACTTTAAATTCTACTTATTACTGTAATTCAGGCTGTTAAATGAGCACGCCAATAGACGTCATCTGTAATCTAGAAAAACTCGGTAACTTATAGATATAATTAACCCTTTAGAGGAATTTGGAAGATTTTCGAATTCAGAGAGGACTCAGCTGAAGACCTCATTAAACGTTTACTGCACGATCTCAAGCATTAAACAAGAAGAGGTTTGCCACTGGGCACTGACAATCATGCAGCCCTTAAAGTTTCACGCATCCCTCCTGCTTACAACGCGTTGTACTAAGCATTAATTTCAGCAAGGAATTACTTGCACCTGGGATTACAAACGTGCTGAAAGCAAACAAAGCGCGCAACATTGACTTACAATTTTATTCAAAGAAATAGTTCGTTGTGCCTTTTGCCAGTAGTTGCCTTTGTTTCCTGAGGCACTAAATACAACTGTATTTCCACTGAAGACATTTAGGGCCCCCATACTGGATCCGTACATGTGATAGTAGAATGTAAGACAAGCCTCGTCACCATTTCCGCAGAGGGAAAGATCAAGCTTTGCTTTATCACCAATAACCCGAGGGGACGATGCTTCAATGTACATGTAGTATCCTAAATAACAACAAAACAAAAGAAAAATAAGACCAGATGAAAAAGATGAGTTGATGTGTTAGCTTAAGCTTATGCAAAATCCACTGGCAACATAACCACTCAAGTTTGATAATATCGAATGGTCAAGATGAAAAAAAAAACCTGGCCTGGTGTTTAATTCAAGAGAACTCAGCTCATAAGGTCCATGTTTGAACCAGGTAGCATGCCTTCTGTGTAGGTTTTTAGGAATAGCATTACTCAAAATGGCTGCTCTCCAAGACGGAGTCAAGGTGGACAGTCGAGGAAATGGGACGAATAGCTCGTGAATGAGGAAAAAGAATACTCCTAGTCGTTGCGTACTGAGGAACCTGCTGAGCCGGCATGACCCGAGACAGTACGGGCCACTTGACTCGTATGATACCAAATACATACCGGATCCACTAGTGTGGTCATAGGATGGTCCGGTGGCCCAAGATCCAGTTGAGCCTGAATTCCTCGTCCAGTCGAAATCATCTGAAACAGACTGCACCCAACCAGAACACAGACAAGAGTCAAAGTTACATGATCGGTTAAACACCGTTAAACCAGGAGCAGGAAGGGCGGACATCTTGCTTGTTATCCACGACTTTAAATGGCGAATGTTGGCATATACAGTGTATTTCAACGGGTCTGCGCAGGGTAATCCTCCCCAACTAGTAGCTCCCTCCAAGTACCATTTTCCATTGAACTCACACACAAGTGGTCCGCCGCTGTCACCATGACAACCGCCTATTCCACCCCGATCCTGGCCAACGCATATCATGGAGTCATCGATTTTACCTGGGTATGACGCCATGCAGCGCTGTTTTGATACCAGAGGTATATCAACTTGCATCAGCTCATTGGGGGAGATTCCCAAGTACGAAAGTCTTCCCCAGCCAGTTATCCAGCACGTCTTGTTCGCATTATCGAAAGGAAGCTGAAAACTCGTATCCGGAAGGCAAACGAGCCCAACTCCTTTTCCAAGCTTGGCCGGTTTCGATAACTGTAAGAGAGCTATGTCGTTGCTCCAACTATTTGGAGTATTGTATCTTTCATGTTCAATGATTTTTGCAACGTCAAAACTCTGCTCTGTGCCAACATTCCCATAGGACTTGTAATGTGCCCCCAATCTGGAATCCAGTCAAGTGAGTACATAGTTATATGATATCAATGTAATTGTTCAAGTGATTATAGAGATGTGTGCATTTTGATCGGTCGAGGATTGCGTCATGCGAAGTGTATAAAGCGGGGGCGCTAAATTTCAAAATGGCCATCTCTCGTTTTTAATGTTTCTGAGGACGCGATAAACACTATAAAGAAAAGTAAATTGCTAAAAATACAAAATCTGCCACTGAGTTTGGCTGAACACTTTTCAAAAGAAAGATGGTACCTTTCTGCTGATCGTACAAAATATGCGCAGCGCTTTATTTCTTTACAGAATTCTCAACAGAATTCGAAAGCGCCTGAGCAATTACAATAAGACTTTACTTATTCACTTCGTCCTCGGCGAATAATTGTTAATTAATTGTATAAAAGATTTTTGGAGAATTTAATATGCAGTAGAAATCTTTGAAAAACGTTTTAAATTCTCTCTGCAAAACTAGACAGAAGTCCATTTATCAGCTTCCCTTTACAAGTCTCTGTTGCACAAGAGTGAAATTTCCAGCTTTGCGTACAGGATTTAGTACATTTTTCTTCTGTTTATAAAGTTAGAGTATTATCACATGCTTATAGACTGCACCGAATTTTTTTTAAAGGGAAATTAAGCATAAATGAAATTTTTTTCCTTACTCGACTTTCACTGAAGACACCGATTTTCCCCTTACGCAGTGAGTGGCCGTGACAACCCATAGGGGATGTATCAAAGTACCACCGCAAAACTGCGAACCATAACTGGTCTGCAGCATAGCCTGCCAGGGCCAGCTATTAATTAAGGCGATTGACCCACCAACAATACGAGTGCCACTTGGTCGAGATCCACACGTTGCTGAAAAAGAACCAAGCAAAAATTCAGCGAAAAACCTATCTCATAGATTGAGCAAAATGATCCCATTATGCCAAATCTTATCGCTAAATCTTTATGCAACGTTTATTCATAAATCAGGGGACAGAGAGGTCCTAGTTATATTGGTGCTGCTACCCAAAAGCAAGTTGCGAAAGGAGTTTCGTTAGGGTGTCTACAGGTTATACGTAAACAGATAAAAGACTCTCCTCGCAGGCTCGAGGGAATCTACAACATCAGGATCAACTTTAGTTTACATCTGAATTCTGCATTTGGCCGCATGATTTCCTAAGACCACCTTAACGTGTAACGAAAACTAGCCCAACTCCCATGGTTTTGAATAAAGGCTGATAGTTTCTAAAGAAACTGTTTGGGGCTGCGTCGGTGGGGGTAACGAAATAATTTGGATACATCAACAAAGTTGAAATGGTAAATTGGCCACCGTAACGATTACAAAAGCTGACGTTTCGAGCGTTAGCCCTTCGTCGGAGCGAATAGAGGAGTTTTGGGTTGTGTGTGCTTTTAAAGGCAGAAAATGGAGCTACGTTATTGGCGGGAACATGGCAACGAGAAAAACACGAATAAATTAGTGGAATGAAAAGCGTTCGTTGATACCTGTGGGATTTAGACTGCCGGTTTGAAAGATGAGCTTTTGTTCAAGAGTTTTACGGCTTTCCGTGCTKCCTAAGTGTAAGGAAAGACCGCATATTGCCATATGTTGCTTAGGTATCAACGAACGCTTTTCATTCCAATAATTTATTCGTGTTTAACTCGTTGCCATATTCCCACCAATAACGTAGCTCCATTTTCTGCCTTTAAAAGCACACACAACCCACAATTCCTCTCTTCGCTCCGACGAAGGGCTTACGCTCGAAACGTCAGCTTTTGTAATCGTTTGGGTGGCCAATTTACCATTTCAACTTTGTTGATATATTCAAATTATCCCATGGTTTTGTCTTACCATTTTTCATAGTAGCATTTACTTCAAGAGTCTTGTAACAATAGCCAAGTGCATCCACTCCAAACACTTTCATATGATACATTTGTGAATGTTCCAGTTCACCAATTTCCATATCTAGTCTGCCTCCATCCACTAGAACATGGTATGGTGCATTTCCGTTGGTTCTCGAGAGGATGATGATGTAGTGGAGTATCTCTTGATTTATTAAACTGGTTAGGTTACTCCACTGAACTAAAATACTTGAGGCTGTGATGTTGTCTACTGACGCCAGCCAGCCAGGAGTATAAGTAGCTAAAAGAGTAAACATTACAGAGGTGCCTAGTCATTACTGATGAATTTCTTGAATTTTAACACCGAGTGAGGAAAAGGATGGCAAATGCTTAAAAAAAATAAGAGCCAACATTAAAAAAATACATTGAGAGGTACAAAAAGGAGGCAAAAAGTAAGGAGGTTATGTAAACTCATAGAGCAACGACGAGCATACTTTTTACGTACCGGAATGGAGTCCATGTTTCAATATCACAAAGTGAGATGTTATATGGCTTTGTAGTTGAGTCAGTAAGATGTTGATTGCAATGTTATCAGATTTCACAAAGGAAATCTCAACCACGGATCCTTGATTGTTGGGACAGCAACCCGACTTGTGATACTGAAGGGTTCCATTGCCATTGAAAATCTTAACATGCTCCCTGAAAAAATGGCAAAAAAAAAAAAAAAAAAGTTAAAATGCACTTTCCGTATAATAGCGTGAAAAATGAAAACAATGCTGTTTTCTCTCTGGAAATGGAGAAATTGTAATTGGGGAGCAGTGATTAGCAGATATGTTGAACAGCAGATACGCCATTAGTATGAAAGCATAATGCTTAGCTTCAAATGGTTTTTCTCAGCACATTTCATGATCCTGTCAAAACAGAGAAATACAAACCCTATCTTTCTTTTCAGAGATATATTTTAAAATTCTCAATTCACAGGATGCGAGCAAACAAATTAGGAGGCATCAGCCCTTAAATATTTTTTAGCATGTCATGAATAGCTTGGTAATTAATAGAATTGCGTTATATTGCGAACTGGTACCCGTTAGGACAACTTTACTATACCTGAAATGTCCATCATAAAATCCGTTAATAAGGTATTGAGACTTCAAAAAGGCTCTTTGAAGCTCTAGAAAGTGTATTTACAACTGTTTTCATTTCATATAGGATGCATGACATTTGACAACTAATGACAGAATTTATTTTATGAGTACAGGTACTTCTCTGTGTAAAGGCTGGCTATAAGGTGACACCATTATCAAATTCTTATATCAATTACCTGCAGGAGACAAAAGCGAGTTGCTTGAACAGAAAAAGGGCAACCGCGTTAGTTATTCCAAAATTTCCAATTGTCCAGTTGCAATATAGATTATTGTAATCTGTGTGTTTCACATTTATCAGTCCGGCGGATTGGTTTAAAGTAATCTTGCAAGCTAGGAAAAAAATGAAACAGCATTCTTAACAGGCAATCATTTCACGAATCTGTGATTTTAGAAACATGCCTCACTTAATAAATTCCTAATACATTTTGATTATCACGCAAACTTGCGCGCTTTGATTTGTCCAGGACTACGGCTTATGCACTGACACAACGAGCAATGGTTAACTTAAATCAGGAAGTGATAGGAATAGAAAAATGAAAAAAACCGCCAGTCCAGTTTTGATAAATCACGGTAAAATAAAGCCCAATACAACTAAATTAATGGCTTTAGGTATTATATGAGCAATGGGCAAGTTGAGAATCATTTTCCCACTATTAATTAATTTTCTAGAATTTTCAGTTCTATTTTGCGAAATACATTCTACGGCATTGTTTGAAAATCATATCAATCGCAAATCATATCAATCGCACAACGCACACTAAACCACAAATGAAACCATAAATTTCAGTGGCTTTTAAGACAGAAAAAAAAACATCCCTCATTTCGCTAGAACCGTTCCCTTATTAATACATGTTTGCAAAAAACGGATATTTGTTATTGGACCTACCTGTCGTTACGTAGTGGCGGTAGGAGCGTGGTCCTTCTCCTTTGGAAGTGAAAGCAGACACGGAAACATCATACCGTTGGCCTGGATTTAATCCTCTTAAATTCACTTTAGTGGTGTTTACAGTTATGCTGTTGTTCGTTAGCGGAGAATAATAATACGCATACACCTGGAAGTAAACTCTGTACCCCAGCAACTTTCCATTGATATATTGCTGTTGAAGAGAATCCCACTGAACAGTTATCTCAGTTGACTCCACATTTGAAAATGTGATGCTTCGTGGTGCTCTGCTGGGAACTGATAAAAAAAGCGTAGATGGGTTATTTTAACCAATTTGTGGTCATAGAACTATCAGATGAAGAAGCCCACTGGCATTCATACCATTAGAAAACGGGATGGGGATGAAGTAGCGGATAATCCACTGTTAACTGTTTTTTCGTTGCGTTTTTAGGAATTTTCGAAACAAACAAACAAAAAAAAAAAAAAAAGCCAAGACAAAAAAAAAATAGAACAAAAATTAAAATGAAGAAAAAAATAAGAAATTTATCACTTTTGTAAAAATAATAAAAACTGTTGCGTAATCGACAAGTTAGGTCAAAAATTACGGGTTATGCATATTTCTAATCACTTATTTTACTGGAAAAATCTCCTTCCCTAAAAAAGAAGAAGAAAGGTAGGGAACGAATGGGGAAAACAAAGAAAGGATGAGGTGATTCTATGGTTGGGTTTCAGGTGACGTCACAAGCTTTGCTGAAGTTAGTGTCCGCCATGTTGGTGTCCCTCGGGTGTCAAATTTATGAATAATTAGTCGATTTCTATAGTGAAGCCCTCTCTCTTATCGCCGTATTATTTCGCCAACTAC